AATGATAAGAGAAAATAACAAAGGAAGAGAATACAATACCACCCACCGAAAAATGAGTCTGACCCAGAAGACCCCGTGTCCTTCCGGGTAACTCCCAGTTACCCCCCACCCCGGGCATGACGTGCTGTGGTATGGAATACCCCCTTGGCTAGCCTGGGTCAGGTGTCCTGTCTCTGCTTCCTCCCAGCTTCCCCTCCTCCCTGGCAGAGCATGAGACTCACAAAGTCCTTGGTCAGGGTAAACATTACTGAGCAACAACTGAAAACATCAGTATTATCAGCACTGTTCTAAGGCTGAAAGTCAAAACACAGCGCTGCACCAGCTACCAAGAAGGAGAAAAATTGACTGCTAAACCCAGGACAATCAGGTTTAGATATAAATTCAGCTTCTATTCCGTAAAGGAGAGAGGGAACTCAGAGAGTACATAGTCAAGTAAGAAAGATGTTACAACATCATTTAGATTGTTTCAGGTACTGATCTCAGTATAGATTCCTTAATACTCTTCTCACTTCGAAGTCTTTCTTTGATTCATCTTCAACAGCTCTGAAGTTCAGCCTCTCAAAAGTTTGCTGAGTACTGTGCAAGAGAAACCTCTATCACATTTTCCTAGACCACTCTGAGTTAGTGCTCAGCCTGTATCCTTCTCATTTTTAATTAAAAATAATTCCACAAAGGACTTGAGCTCCTATTTAATCATCAAATTCATAAAGCTTTTGATCACTAGGGATTCTGAATTTTGGCATAAAAAAAAGATAAATATAATTTTCACTCACATATGCTCTATTTTGTTCTCAAGTTGATTTCCATCTCTGTCAAATGAAACTTACATGGATCACTGACATTCTGTTGAGGAACTTGGTGACTCAGTAAAATCCCTTTTACATTAAGATTTCACTTAGGAATAGCATTATGACTTAGTATCCAGATCTAGATGTAATTTCACTACTTGCAAAAATATTCATATTAGGTTTAATTAAAAAATGTTCACAAACTCTGTTTGAACTGATTCTGGAAAAATTAATTAAAATTTAGTTCAACCATAATTTTGAAGTTGTGGGAATTGCATTTCCTCAGCCCTTAAAAGGACTCAATAAGGTTACCCTAATTTGCTGTTAAACGTGTGTTTATTTGAAACACTGAAAGAATCTTGAAATCAAAAACTAACTCCTGAGATCAGGGGCTGGGGGAGCTACAGAACTCTGATATAGGCTCAGAGATGAAATGAAAGTCACTTCTATGCTCCAAACAAGCACAGCTCTTTCAGAGGAAAAAGCTGAGATCTTTTAAAGGTTTTATGATGGAAGTCATAGGATTTACAAGGGAAAAGACCTGGATTTATTCCATATTGGCTGTAGAAAAATAGATGCTACATTCATAACTCTGTTGCTCTTCTTCTGTGCCTCTGGGTTCCATCAGAAGATGGCTATGCCAGCCAACATGTTAACTCGTGAACAAGCTGGTCCTGTCAACTCTCCCCTGTCTCCTGTCCCCCAGTGTCCCTTTGCAGGCACCCACACTTCTCTGGCCCTGCAGGAACCCTTCCTACATTAGCAAAAACGACAGTACTTATTTTCCTGTGTTGGTCCCCACAACAGCTCACTGTGGGGTGAGAAGCACTAAGGATCAACGTGAGACAAGGGGTTGGGAGCTGTGGCCAAGGCAAGGGAAGTTTGGAGTGTATTTTAGTTACAGCAAGCTGTAGGCTTGACTCATAACATCAGCTAACAGTCCTGCTCAGCATAGTAAAAACTTTCCTGATCCCTCAGGCATCTGCTCAACATCAGATGGAAAATGTGCTCCAGTGGGTGGGAACTGAAGCAAGATCCTTACTCCCAATTCTCTAACTGATCTACTCCTCTCGCAGCCCCATTTTTAACCTTGTGGTTGGTCTAAAGATGAGGCCAAAATTTTTGTTAGCTTATGTGTATATGATCACATTCACATAGAAACAAATTGATGAGGTTATAAGAGAGCAGGGTCAGAGAACTCAGATTTTGACTCACATGTATTCTTGCAGTCTACTTTTAGAAGCCAAATATGCCATGTCCTCAACGAGTTGAAGTGATTCCCACAGTGTTTGAAGGGTATTCCTACAATACATTAGAGTATTTCCTGAAAGACAAGTATATTCTTTGTCGTGGAATTGTTCAGATTTCACCTCCACTAAGTATAAGCGCTTGCTCATTTTCTTTGTGGAAATGCTTAGCAAGTAGGAAAGCATAGCATTCTAAGGCTGAAGAAAAGTTTTGATTGATTTTATTCCATGTGCCAAAGTTATGATATAATCCACTATGAAAAAAAAAAACAATATCCTACGTAAAATGGCATAAAAGTACAAGACTGAGTGGACATGATTAAAACACGTGGTACTTTAAGTGTTTGCTTAATTTTTGTTGTAAAAGTTGTCCTACTGTTATTTGGAACATGCATTGTGACAGAGTAACCTATGACAATAATTTTAGATTACCTGGGTAATGTTACATGCAGAATGAAATAAACACAAATGCTCAAAGAAGAAATAACATCATAAATCCCAGAAATTCACATTATGTTAGGCATTTTTAGATATGGTATTTGTCCTGCAGACCACATGGTCAACCATTCCAATGCTATCCTACAATAATGGCTCCTCATAGTCATTTGATTGTTCAATTAGTTCCAGATTGGGTTATATAGGCACAAAAATAATATTAACTTGATATATACATTTTATTTTATTGTTTTTTTTATTGGTGGTTAGTTTTTTGGATTTGGGGTCATGTTTGGTTTTTGGTTTCAGGTTTTTTTGGGGGGAGAGGGAGAAGTGGGGGTGTTTTCTTTTTCTGTAATCACATGAGCACACTGCAGATCCATGAAAACGAACTGAACATTTCAGTAATCAAGAGGGAAACTGGTTTTTTAAAAAATAATATTCCTGGATTTAAGAACAAGTAAGAATCAGGAACTTACTACTGACTTTATTAATGAATCGGTTTAAGTCAATTATAACCCCTATGCAAACTATTAATGAAACATCCAATATTGACTTCTGGATGACAACTAATTATTTTAGAGACTTTTTTTCTCAAACTTGAGGAAGTCTACTCCCTACTTAATCCAAACACTGAAATTGCTCTTTTAACTGAAATATACTAATTTTTCTTGGCAGTTTGAACTGATACATAGTGGCCAACTGACTTCGGTTTTATTAGATCTTTGGAAACTCCTTGACCAGGGGAAACCTGACTCTTTCACCTGTACCAGGAGCTCAAGAAAGAGCATAAAAAGAAATCATCTAATCTTAACTCTGAAGCTGCAGCATAATAATAAAGACTAATTTATTTTTCCCAGCATTAAATGTAGGACTAAGAAATGCTGGACTTGCTTTTTTGTAAAAATTGACTTCTTTTTCTTTTTTCTGTCCTCCAGATTAAGACTGCATTTGTCCAATAGACTTTGCAAGTTCTGTCTCTCACGACTCATGTAGTTTCCTAGATTCAACTTGGAAGTTGCTCTGCCAGACCAGCTTAAACTGCTCATCAGGACTCCAGCTACTTCTACTGCTGTTTGAACAAAATAACTCTTACAAGTGTTCCCTAGTTTTTTCCAGTCAAAATAAGCCAGAAATGCTGAAGCTATTTCAATGTAGTGTCTCTGCCAGCTGGCTTATTCAGACTGAAGTACAGCAGAGTCTCATCACACTTGATCCTTGATTGGCAGATTTGCAGGCTTGGTGATTTTGGGTGATACTGTGCAGCTGACATTGGGCTAGTAACAATAACATCTTCAGTCAACACAGCTGGAACAGTAAGCATGCATGTATCCAACATATTGGTGGATGAGCTAAAATAAAGAAAGTTTGCAATTATATGTGTCCTTCTTTTATTCATCCTGTGAAATCTGAGGAAAGACCACAATTTGGGTGATATATTTGAATTGTCCAGACTCTTTGGTTGGATAAATGTTTTCTTAATACTTGAATTTCTTGGTAAGCAAAGTATCAGCATCTCAGTCTGGGAGTTCAGAACAGAAGAATTTTGCAGTGAAGGAGGCTTCCTAAGGTTGCCTCATAACTCATAAAGCTGTGGAGTTTTCATGCACTCAGTCTCTTATTGGCAAGCTAGTGTACGTACCTGCTGATGGTGAAAACATTATCTTTGCTTTGTCTGTGGAGATATTCAGTTTCTCTGCATAGGCTAAAAAGAAGTACCTTTCCTCAGACATTGGCAGAAAGCTTGAAAGAGAAAAGGAGACAGAAATCCTGTTAAAATATTTCACCCGCTTCACAGAAAAGAATAAAGTGCACTGGGGAGGGCTTGATTTAAAAAGCTGGAGACCAGCCATACTTAGCATTTCATGCTTAGTTTTGCTTCTTGCTCTTAATGCCTAATCTGTTCACTTTGACTTTTTTATTAGAGAAAACAATAGTCAGCAGTCTTCAGCGTACAGATTTGGCAGTCAGATCCCGAATCCAGTCTCATTCTGGGATACATCAGTTGCAGCTCTGTTACGGTAATGGACTTGTTTCAGTTTTACACTAGAGGAGCTGAAAAAAAATATGTATCAGGCCCTGGAACTAAAGTAGAAGAAATAATAATAATAATAGAAAAAGAAAAAACAATGACTGCATTAACTTGAAATATTCAAGGGTCTAACAAAGTCAAAATACAAATTGAATGGTTTAAAATAATCTTCTGTGTCAGATTTATGTATCATAGAAATAAGTTACATGCAGAAGCGCAGTTCTGTTTGTCCAGTTCAGCCTGCCCTATTTTAGGGCATTGTCTTTGACTTCGTTGCCTTTTTGTTCTTCATTTGTCTCAAGAGTTGGCTTCCTGACCCTGAAAGACTGCATACTAAGGAAAGGCTGTCTGCAGCCCTGCTAGTGAACCCCCATGTCCACGCACGACCGGCTGAGGACACTCACGTGTGTTCCTGGCACCCTCTGGTGGGTGGTCTCGCTTACACACACAGAAAAGCAAGACATCCAAATTTGGACAGTTCAGAGTGTTTCACACAGCTCAGAAAGTTGACAAATGGCATTTAACAACCAGATTACATTCAAAATGTATGTGATAGCTAGGTTTGATCATTTACTTTTATATATATTGCAACACAAACCTAGATTGCTGTATCAAAATATGTGAAATATGTGTGTTTTTTCTCTCTTCACCCCTACCAGGTATAGATGAAGAGAGACATGGCATATATGTTCTTTTACTACCTTAGGGTGGTTATGAAGTGTAGGAAGCCAATATGAATTTGTCAGGCAAAACATTCTGGTTGTCCAGTTAAATACAAGCTCCAGAATTTTCTTCCAGACATTGGTGAGTTTACAAAGCAGGTACAAAAATTATTCCTGCTTGAAAAAAACTGAGGGGATTTCACTGAGCAGCAGCTTTTTACCTCTTAAGTCACCCCCAAAGCCTTGTTTGATACTGCAAGCTCTTCAGTGTCAGAGGACTCCTATTCTGGGCACTTCACAGCAGCAAAAGAAAGTAGCATGTGTTTCTAAGGGGCCCACAGTACCCCATGTCTTTCTGTCTGCTGCTAGAGCTGGTTCATTATGTTCAATACATAGGTGAAATAGCCTTCAAATGTTCCCCAGCTTGAATTTTCTGTCTAGGTAACAGGGTATAGCAGAAAGTACTCAAAACAGGATGATGAAAGTTGCTTCTAAATATGGATTTTACAATATATAACACCACCAGCAGAGGCTGTATGCCTTCCTCCTCAAATCCCAAATGTAAACCAGATGAAAAAAATGATTGTCTTATGGTGAAATACTATGCAAAATTCCTGTGCAAATGCCAACCATATAACTCTCTTCTCTTTAGATTTGGCTGAAAATTCTTTCAAACTAAATGAAACCACATTCCCAAACTCAGGCAAAACCTCCCCTGAGTTAAAAATTTTCAGTTAATTTCTTTCTTGTTTTTCTTCATTTCTTTATCTTTTTATTTGATCCCAGCTTTTAAAAAGAAGCAGCTAAATACACCTGGTAGCAACCATTTCTGATCCAGTAAGACTTGGAAATTTTCAAGAATAGACATTGGTGTGATGACACCAGTCTGTGGTTGTTAGATTATTAATTGAGAAGTTTGAATTTGTTTCTAGGAAGCACTCGAGCTTTTGGCTCCTTCTCCATATATGCCTTTGGAGCAATATGTAGACCGTGTTGACACATAATGCAATCCCATTTTCATGTTATCTCTACTGAGCCACCTGCCTCAGCTGGTCACATGGCAAACATGACATTGATGTGACTGTTGATAATTTGTGTGCCATGCAGCTCTCATAAGCTTATTACTTGCAAGGTGACTGAAAATAAGCTGAAATCCATTGACATAGCTTGACTGGAATGCTACTACTCCTCGTGTACATAAATATTTATCACAGGAAATGTCTCCTAGTTCTGTTGTGACTACATAATGAGTCTTATTTCTAAAACCATCTGCATGTTCTTTGGTTAGTACTTGAGATGACTTCAACAGTCAACTTTCTCAGATTCATATGGATTTTTAAGTATTACCAATTTCCACTCAAACTTATGATGATGAGTCCTCTCTCTGTGAAAAATAGTCTGTGAAAAAACATCACTGTTTGAATATTGTAGTGTTTAAAAGCTAGAGTCATGTTCTGACAAAAGGGAGATTCCTGAAGTGTTGGTTGGTGCCTCCACTTCCTGCCACCTGGAAGAAGGAGTGGGATAATAACCATCAAGAGATGCATCTGCCTATCTCTAAGCTGATCCTGGGAGACTGGTAGAAAATAAACATACTCCTGGGTTTCCTGAACGTTTACTTGATAGTGATGATTCCAGAAAGTTTCAGAAAAGTAATACTGCTTGTGGATTTGGAAATTTTGAGAACACAGCTTATTGTAGTTAATTAAACACTGTCAGGGAGTCACTTGAACAATTTGACTATCTGTATTTGAACTACCAGAATAGTCTCTGTCTAGGCTCTGGGTCAAGGTAACAAGCAATTCCCAGACAGCTGGTGGTGGGTATGGGTCATGGGTAATTCCAGCAGCCATTTCCATGTATCCAGACCTGTTTAGAGACTAAAAGCACTTAGCAGTATGGAGACAGACTCTGCCAGTTGGGCACATGACTAGAGAAAGGGCCCTGGCTGTCTTCTTTATCAATATTGATACTGAAAAATGTATCTTGTGTTTGCTAGAGCTGCCTGAACTCACACTACACACGGCATCAATTTGAAACAGAAAATATATTCACTCTTGAAACGACAGAGTTAAAATTTTGGTTGGCAAATTAGAAACAGCTACGAAAATCAATGTAATAATGTATGTGCACTGTTAGGTTTAAGTTCAGAATTAAAAAGGAAGTTTTCTCTTTTAGCTGATTTTGCGGTTTACCCCTTTCTATAATCTTAGTGCATATGCATTGCTTGTCATGTTCTCTTCAGATTAAATTACCCTCCTTGCCTTTAACACCATTCCAAGGGCTGTTCCAGAACTTTAAAAATCATGTCATATGAGAAATATGGGTGTCACTGTATCTTGTAACAAGCTCAACGTCCCTGTTTTGCATTTTATTCTTCCTTGACAGGAATGCTAAATGACATATTAAATTAACACAGATGACAGACTTAGTAGTTACTGCTGTTAAAGCTGTGCTGGAGACTGATTGAAACAGCATAGCTTATTTCCTAAATGGCTGTCATAAACTGGTTTTGCAATCTCTGTGTCCCATCAGTGTAACCTCCTTTCTCACCTCTTTGTCTAGGAACAGGGATGAAAATCCCAGTTGATCCAGTCCCACCTGCAGATTGCCTGGTTTCCCCCCCAGGAGCTGGCAGTTAGCTGATAGGACTCAGCGTGTTGGAAAGAGCCTGACTTTCTTTGTACCAATGAAGCAGGCTAAATAGATATCACCTTACATCTCTCTATTTTGTGTCTGATGAGAATATGAATGTTATAGTCAGATTAATTGCCTCCACTAGCCTGAGTTTATACAAGCTTCTTTTCTTCACTACTACTGAGTTAGATTTTTATAATCTCTCATGTTTTTTTTTTTTTGAGATAAGGGTGAGTCAGAGGAGGATAAAATGGAAATGTACTAGATTTTTCTGGTAGTAAAATAAAATAAAATAAAATAAGTAGAAACAGGCTAGGTGTCCTGAAACTACCTCATCCAGACCTGTTGAAGTCCATAGTCTATATGACTATAAAGTCAGAATGACATATTCACAGCTGTTTACGTGATAGGGTACTCCAGGATGGCATACCAAGATCTGCTTGTGGGGAATATAGTGTACTTTCGATGCCTGAACTTGTGTGATACAAAACTAGTCCTGGTTATATTTACACATCATCTTCTATATTGAGAGCTAGGTTCTGCACATCAGAGCAGTCACTGTCCAGTGTACTTTAGTCAACAGAAGACAATAAAGAGTGTCACTCCTTCCCTTGCAGAGAGCATCCACATCAGATGCAGATCTGATGAGAATGTGGTTTCTTTTTCCCTTGGCAACTTTCAGACTGAATTGTATGGCTGGTGTCTATATTAGAGTTTCTATTAAACTTTTGTGTTTGCTTTTGCTGCTTTTGACTTCTGTGCTAAGTTCTCTGTTAAGGGAAGACATAAAATACATGATGAGAGGAAACTTTGAGACTGCATCCTCTGAGGGCCAGGTGTTAGTTAGGCCATGTGTAATGACTATCAGAACATCCCATTTTAAGTCCTACAGGATCTGCAGTGTATATATGAGTGCATGTACATCTGAGTGCACATGTGAGAAGGGATCTTTGCCTCTAACCCCTCTAATGTATCATCTCACTGAATGCATCTGCAGGATACTGAGGAGTCTGTTTCCTTCCTCTCTATTCAGAGTGTGTCCTACACAAAAGGAAATCATGGGGAAATATCTGCTGCTTTATCCAGAATGCAGTCTCTGGCGATCTATCTGGCAAAAGCATGATGCACAGGATTTCATGCAGTGCAAGTGAGTCCTGCTAAATCTCCCACTCACTCCTCTTATACAGTCAAGCTTACGTGGGCTCTGGAGTAAAATCACTGCCAGAAAGATGGGTGGTCCCATCTATTTTTCATATGAAAAGGAGTCATAGGTTATATGGGCACTGGAGGCTCTCTTTTGCATTAAAAGACCCATCATAGTTAAATCTTAAGTCCAGAACTGGTGCCCTCAGGTTTTGGAAGTTTAGCATCTTAAAATAAGTTGTTGCTACAGTATATCCATGATTTGATTTCAGTAAGCACTCTCCAGCAAATTTTAGTTTAAACCTCAGACCTTCAACCCACAAGTTTTGTGTGTCTATGAGAAGAGATTATTAAAGGGACCAAAACTAACATGGACAAAAGCCATCTTAGTTGGCTTGTATCAGCAAAAATACTACTGTATGCTGCCAACAATCCCCCAAACTATTCCAGCCACTGATGTAAAAGCCTCTTATGTTAAGGAAACAAGGCTGCAAAGTGGTTCTGAGAGCAGGATTAGCAAAAACTGCTCCAAATTGGATCAGTGACCCTGTCTGAGGTTTGCTTTGACTTCCCTTCCCAAGTACAATTCCCACTCAAAAGCCTGATATTTTCTGGATCAAACTTCTAAGTTGTGTAGTTCTTACAAGCCTTTGAGGTACCTCAGCAATTCTAGTGGCTTCTGAAGCATTTAATTTGCATAAGCATCAACCAGCCTTTCCACATCTTAATTGAAAATACAGCAAAATCTAGAAAGAAAAGTTACTCTTTATTTAAAAGTAAAAGGAGGAGCATCACTGCTCCTGAATGTGGGCTAAGAAAGTGTTGTCATGAGATGTCCCATGTTTTACAGAGGAACTTCTGCTAAAGAAAATGCACTATGTCTTGTAAACTGAAAAAAAAAAAAAAGAAAAATAAATCAGAAGTTACAAGAAGTCAGGTATAAACCTTAGGGAACATTGAGAGAAGAGAGTTTTATTTAAAAAAAGGGGTTTAGGAACTTGACAATTGAACCACAAAATTGTAAGAGAGGAAAAAAATGTTTTTTAAAAACATAAATATCTTAATATACTCAAACAGATTTTTTTTTTTTTTCAGTTTTACCTTTGCTGGAAACATCAGGGAATACCTGAAATAAACGATATTAAATTTTCATTTTGTTAATCATATAGCGAAAAAAAATTCTGGTGACATGCTGAGAACAATTCCAAGTAGCTTGTTTTCTTTCCTGATGAAATTTGTGAATACATTGAAGCACAGTCTGCTTCATTCGTGTCGCATTTATAAACCAGGTTTTCGCTATAGTCACCTCAAACAACCGGTAGGTGGCAGAATCGGTTTATTTATTGCTAGGCTGAGCATAGGCACTGCTACTCATTTAGGAGAATTCTAACTCTATGCAAAAACAGTGCTTGGGCTATGGCCCACTGTGTGGGTCTTGCTGACTGTGTGTTTCCACTTGTATTGCAGTTATTATCTTTCTATTGTTTTACTGAAAGCTAAAATACTGACATGCACGCTAGGGTTTGGGTGTTTGCTGTTTCTTCAGTTTCAACATCAAGTACATCAGTATAAGAAGGACCTAAAAATGGGGGAGGGGGGGAGGAAATACTGCTGACCCTTTTCAGCCTTAATGAAAATTTGTAAGAAAATCACATTTTACCTGGCTTCCATCTTAATCTGTAGCTACAATTCTTGTTCACATACATTGCATAGGTTTATATCGTGTTCAGAAACCCATTTCTGGAAGCTACCCTGGTAACAAGGATCCTGCTTCAGAAAGAAAAAGTTGTTGATTTTTTTGAGGGCCTATTTTTGTTCCTTCTGCAATGGGTTAAAACCAAAACCTGTAGAATGATGTCAAGATCAATTAAAAAATGAAGAAGCAAGAAAGTAATCCTGCCCTATGGCTATCAGCACTGGGGGTGAAGTATAGCCTGTGAGGTAGAAAGTCCAGACAAAAGTTCCTGTTCTGTCTGACTTACATTTGGCCTTCAGTTATGTTGGGCTGCGTTGATCCCAGTTTGTCTTGTTACTCCATGGGAGATTCCAGCCTGTCTATAAGAAGCAACACCAGCCAAAAATATTGAAATTGGTGTAGGCCTGATATTAGCACTTTGGGATTTGAAACTCTCAAGTGGTGCTCACTGTACCACTGACTGAGGCTGACCTATGAAAAAATTAAAGGTGGAGAACTAAGGAGAGAAAAGTCCCCTCTGATTCCTCTCTCTCTCTCCTTTGTTCCTGTCTGAGATTGCCACCTAAACACTAGTGTTTGCCACCTAAACGTTGTTGCATTTTCCTGTTCCAAGGAGCAACAGACAGGTTTTTATCTTCTCAGAAAATCTGCCTTAAAAGTACAGTGTGCCATATCATTTAAACTTAGAGCAGGTTTATTCATTTATTTGAGAGGGAAAAGCTAACACTAAAATATAGAATATTTTATGGGAGCTTTTTTATAGGAGCTCCCATTTTGGCGCTGTTTAAATTTTGTTTTTCTTTCTTTATATTTAACTATAACCTTCTAGGCTTGGTGAGGTCCCAAGTACATAGAGATTAAAGCCACAAGCTGGGTTGCAAATCAATGCTATTCATTTAGAACTGGTTTGTTAAGCATTAAGTTGATGTTTATTTAAACTTAATGAGTGAAAATTACAATATGCAGTACAGTAGAGCCATGAAAATACAGAAGGCCAGTATATAATCTCATTAAATAAGAAGCAACTGCTGCTATTCCAATATTAAATGAGATCAGAATCTGGCCCTAATTTCTATTATGAGTTGAGGGCTAGATCCATCAGAGACCTATTGTGTTGTAATGCTGAATATCTGAGCACTTAAGCAGGACTATAGCAATATAATATAAATTAAATATAATATAAATATAAATTAAATATTAAATATAATATAAATATAAATATAATATAAATTAAATCAGAAGCATCTTCCTACAGAATTTGAATAGACTCTGATAATTCCCAGTGGGCTCAAAACTTAATGACACCATGCACAGTAGGTACATGCCTATCAGATGCTTTGGGTAGGATATTTAAAATTCCAGCATGCAGGAGCATCCTGAAAGCTGCATGGGAATGTCTCTGCTCTCTTGGAAATCCCAGCCATTTTTTACACCTTTTCCTGTGAAGTATGGTATGATGTAGTCAGGTTGTTCTTTTATTTTATGTAACAGCTCAGTGTTTACAGTGGCTGTTGCTTAAAGCAAAATATAAAAATTATATGAGCCCCAGGAAGAAGGACACAGGAATTTCCCATCATATTCTTTTGCTTTCTCCTCTGTTGTCCTTTTCTATTGTGCTAATCAGTATTTCTTTTTGGTGCAGTAAAATGTTTTTCCAAGAGCTGTAAATATCAGCTCTACCAGCCATCACAATTCCCACTTAACCTGAAAAAGGACTTGTCCTGGGGGCTGGGAAATTAGAATTCAAATTCTTTTACATCTGCAGATGTACTTATACAACACTGTGAACATACATGACATTCTTATATAAAACAAGATTATGCTATTAAAAAGAAATTAGCAAAGACAAGAACATCTGTTCAGGCTGGATGCTTTGCTTGATAAGTTCCTGGGTGGGTACCAAGCCAAGGCCAACAGGCAACCTGGGGTCTGGAATGCATTCATCACTTCTGCATTAATAAATGAAGCAAACTGTGAAATGCTCCTAGTCAACTAGGTGGACAGTTAAGCTGTTAAAACAATTTCTACCACAGGCGTGGCTCGGGCAGACTAGTGGTGCCCAGAAATACCCCTACCCATAGCTCAGGAATGTGAGAATCTGAAGGGCCATTCCCAACATGCAGTTTTCCTACCTCCACAGGGCCTTGGATCCTAGAAAGTTTATGAGCTTCAACATGAGCTATAGGCTACTCTGTGTTGGTTTGCCACAGCATCTGGAAATGTTCCTGGGTGTGTTGAATTCCCTAGCCTAGAGCAAAACATATTTCCTAGCTCTCAGTCAGGCCAGACCAGGAGGTGGGTCAGGGGCCTCTTGGAGCTGTTAGGTCTGCAGTTGTCCTGGGGGTGCACAGCTGTAGGCTGCTAGGCAGCAACATTTCATGAGGCTGTGACTGTGGTGCCCCACATCACCACAATTAGCAGCCGAGTAGGAATTTTAAGTGCTGTGATTTTTGATTGAATGGCCTAGTGTTGACTTGCCTCCAGGTTCATGGTTTTAGGTCTTTTACTGGGCTGGCATACAGTGTTTAGAACTCACATTTGGCAGTGGGACTCAGGCCATGGCTGCAAAGTCTCAGCCCTGGTTTTCCAACAAAATGTCTCCATCTTTTCTTCTCCTTCTGTTTCCCTGGAGAGGAAAGGAAGGAAGAAAAAGCAGGGGCTCAGAAAGCACAGCTACCCAGCCACATGGGGTAAAGCTCAGAAGCCCTTGCTTTCCCTGGAGGAAGATCAGTTCATTGTCAGCAGATGGAAACGGGAAGCTGCGGGTGGGGGGCATATTGCCGAGGGTCTGCTTTGATGTTGGCATGTTTGTTTGCTTTCTGCTTCCTGGACCCCTGCCCGAGGGGCTGGGACTGTCAGTTGTGGAAGAAACACAACAGGATGGCCATCAGCAGCCCGCAGAGAAGACAGCAGCAGATGTCGACAATAGGAGGGGTACATCAGCTTAAGCCAAATCAGGGAAAAAACTAAAAGGATGAGATTGTGGGGTGGAACAGGAAGATAGGGAGCTGTGGTGAGGTGGTGAGTGCCTATGGTAGGACAGCAATGGCAATTCAAATGAGGAAGGCATAGGTGGAGACATTTGAGAAGCTGTGCAGCAGAGCCTGCCATGAATTTGTCTGAAAGTTACTAATTTTCAATCCTACAAAGGTCATGTTCACCTGCTTAATATATGAAGATATCACATGCTAACAGCCTTCAGTCAGCACAAGGCCAATGTGCGCTACGTAGCATGTCCTTGAGGCCACATGTGTCTATGTGGTGGGCTTCACATGGGCGCCAGCTCACTTGAGCCATACTTCAGGCAAACCAGAAGCCATGACAACTTGTTACAATCTCTGCAATGTGGCATGGGTCAGACCTGCAGCTCCTGAAATATTTTCAGAACTTTGCAGGTTTTTTAACCTGTTTACATTAGTGGTTTCTCATGGCTGAGAAACAGGAAAGACCAAGATAATCTCTCATTAACAGGTAAAAAAATAGCTCCCAAATCTGTGTATATTCAGGTTATTTACAGATCCACTGTGATACCACACAGACTAAAAGAGAAGGTAAATTAGCTTCAGAATTACTCAGTCAGAATTGCCATCAAGTGGTTAATCTTCAAAATGGTTGACTAGGTCGAACAAGACAGGATGGAAAGCCACAGAATGTCAGTCTGTATCTCATAGTAGCAATGGAACACCCTGCTTTTAACTAGTCATTTATGATTTGCCAATAGACAACTGAATGCAGTGACCCTACTTATGTCCTGGCAGTGACTTACTAGAAATACAAGAGCCATATTATGGGTCAACTCCAGAGTGAGTTATAAATAATTAGAGATTTAACTGTGGTTTTCTATTAATAGAGATATTTTTCTCAAAAATGATGCATCTTGTCACCTCAGTCATTTGTATCTTTGTTACTCAGCTGACATAGCACTGTAAGATACAGGTAGATAATACACAAAGTAATAAGAAAACATGCAGTGCAGTGTAAAAGCATTGATGTGTAAAATATTATACTGAAGTGTTTCCTGCCAGGAACGCTCTCCTGAGGGAATTCAGGGAGATATACATGCAAACAAACAACACTGATCCAGCAACTGTGTAACTGCCCCTTCTACTCTCAGTGATCCTGTCTCAACCGCAGGCAGAAGTGATGAACAGTGTGTCTTTGGAGAGACTTCTAAGGTTTAAAGGAGCAAGTCTCAGTTTTGATTCTACCAGAAAAAGGGAGACTGTAATTTTTATGTCACAAATTCAAGGAAAGGCATATTGCATTTCTGATACCTGAGCTACAGAAAGTACATGACCGCGTTCCTCTAGACACTTCCTTTAAGCAAGAAGACTTAAATTACCCAATTGAAGTGGAAGCCACTTCTGTTACGTGAAAATCACTTTGCGGGAAAATGATGAAAAGAAAGAACACCAGAGGGCACTATTTCGTTTTGTTAAAAAGATGGTTGCAAAGTCATGTCAATACGGGGGTCATTTGGGATACTCATTCTCTTTCCTTTTTTGATGTCTCCAGGCTTCTTAGAGAAAGCATGTCTACTTTAAGAGAGAAATTACGTTAAATGGCTATTTAGCCCTGAATGCAATTCAGCATTGCAGTAATTAGTGACGTGCAAGATTAAGCATTTAGACCAATCCTTCAATACTTCTCAAGAAAAACACTGGTGAACAACTGGATCTTTGCGCTCAAATGTCTCTTATGTTCAAGTCTCAGAGCCTTTGACTGGCACCTGAAGTTTCAGGCCATTTATCACACTTCTCAGACATTTGAGAAATTAATAGTTTCT